ATTAATTCAGAGCCAAGTGAAGCGCCATCACCAGGCGATACGTATTTGGATACAGTTGACTTGAGGGAGTATGAACCGGTGGATAATAGTATACAGTCGTTATTGGGGGGTGAGAGGGAGTTGAGTGAGAGGTTTAAGAGAAATTACGAGAAGTGGGTGGAGTTTGAGGTGATTTTGGTATTTATTGTTGTTGTTTTTATTATTTATTACTATTTATTATTATTTATTATTGTTATTTATTATTATTTATCGTTAATTGTTATTATTATTAATTATTATTTTGAGGTAATGAAACGACAGACGAATTGGGATCAGCTGTTAGTGAATACGAGAGGGATTACGGATATGGTCGTGTGAATGGGATGTTTTGGTGTTTATTATTATTATTTATTGTTAATAATTAGTATTATTTATTATTATTAATTAGTATTATTTATTATTATTGTTATTTATTATTATTATCATTTATTATAATTATTATTAAAAGTCACAAAAATAAATCTCATTATGTAATTTTTATTGAGTGTTTTAATGGATGTTTAATAAAGTGTTTTACATTTGTGGTGTTTTATTATTTGTTAGTGATATTGAAACGTCGTGATTTGAGTCGACGGGAATATTTAATATTGTTATTTTTATTTTTTATTGTTATTTTTATAGTTATTATTATTTTTTATTAGTTATATTGTTATTTATTATTATTGTTTGTTATTTATTATCGTTATTTATTACCTTGCTGTTGTATCTGCCTCGTGTGGTTATTTATTATTATATTATTTATTATTAATAAAGAAGTGGTTATTTATTATTGTTATTATTATTATTAATTTGTTATTGTTTATTATTATATATGTTATTGTTTTTATTATTATATATGTATTGTATTATTATTTATTATTATAATAATTAATGTATATGTTCAGGAAGGGGTAAATTCGGCGACGTGTATGTAAATAAAATGTTGTCGAATGCAGTATTGAAAGCGAAAACGCCGACCTTGTGCCAGTATTTGACACGGACACTCGCTTCGTTGACGGGACGGAGGGATGAACCTGCGTAAGTTATTTTTTATTATTGTTATTTATTATTATTTATTATTATTATTATTTATTATTGTTATTTATTATTGTTATTTATTATTATTTATTATTGTTATTATTTATTATTATTATTTATTATTATTTATTATTGTTATTTGTCGTTGTATTATTATTCGTTGAGTTGTATTTTCTGAGATGAGCGCGCGCGCATGTGGCGGTAAGCGTGGCTTGCGTATCGACGTGGGCTCCGCCCATCGCTAGATGCGTGCGCGTGTGCTTTTTGAGATAGTTGTTATTGTTTATTATTATTTATTGTTATTTGCTGTTATTATTTACTATTATTTATTATTATTTAATATTTTTATTGTATTATTTAATATTATTTATTGTATTTATTATAATTATAATTCTTCAGACATCCATCGAAAAAGGCGCAAGCGATGCCAGACGTTGTCAAGCGATCACCAGTGCCCGAGTTTGACGCAAGTCAGCTGATCGATTACGCTCGTTTGCATTGGGACGACACGGTCACTGCTGATGACCCGACGGTTAGCGTGCTTCTGCGATTTTGTTTTGTTTTCGGGTGTTTTTGGATGGTACCAGACCTGAAATTAATTTCAGGTCATTCGCATT